TTGATATATGATTGGCCGAATTTAGGTGTGCAAGCTGACGTATAACTAACCAGCCTGCATAAGATAACGGAAACCCCCCCAGATTTTAAGAAACTTTCTAAATTATCGTCTGATAAAGAGCACATTTATATACATGTTTAGGCCAGAATGATTTGACATTTAAATATGATTTCCCAACTTTAAACTTCCTTTCTGTTCATGTTAATTTTAAGAATTATATATTTTTTTCCTTATTTTGTTTCTTTTTTTCTTCTGTGTTGACGAGTCTGATTATTTTCTATATATTTATACATTTCTTTTGTCAGATTCGCTTTTTGTTATTTAACAAATATAATCACAAAGACACCATTTTTAAGCTGTGTGTTTTTGCAATGAATGCTGTCGGATTTCCTTGAGTATGCTCCAAAATTCTAATGATGCAGTTTTTAACTGGTATTCCATGTTTTTGTTTTCATACCTGCCAAGTCCTCTCATTTTATGGATGCATCAAAGCCGAGCAGTCAGAATATATTAACTCCTAAATGAAAATGAGGTGATGTCATCTAGGGAAAATACGACCGTGAAGTGTGAAGATGCGGAAGAAGCTGAGAGACTTCCAGACAGACGCTCATACCAACACACCATCGGCAGCTATTCCAAACGAGCGCTCGTATCAGGCCGCACGTCTGCTGGGAGCAACAAAGCTGTCAACACGCGCGGCACACATCATTTTCACCTCTTCGACTACTTCGCAGGATGTGAAAGACATTCAGAGCTCGCCGCACACAGGGAGAGATCACTAATAGACGCCGAGCACATCCTGCTCTGAAAGCCTCCTGCATAGTTTCAAAGGGAGCGGAGGATGGATGAAACGGCCCGGAACGATGGCAAACTGGCTCAGTGATTTAAAAAGCGCCGGCCGGGCTGGAAAAGAAAAAAAAAAGTTTGAAATAAATGGGTCGCTTCAGTCACTCTTGATAAGCGGTTCCTGTAAAGCCTGTCAGTTTCGGTGAAATTGTCGGATTGATGTTATTCTCTCTTCTACTCAAACACACATTGCAGCGCTGAGATGAAAAATTTACTAAACTTAAGGAACTAAAAGTGTTTTTGTTCAGTAAATAAAAATAGCAGACATGCATGGGAAAGCTGGGAGAGCCTATTGGAGAACCTTGTCAGTCATTTGGTCTTCTGGGGATGGAGGCGGGTGAGGTGGAGGGTTCATCCCTGTGTGACAGCGACTTGTCAAAGCTTTGGTGGATGCAGATACAGCATATTCTATCCCAGCATCCCATGAGCTGTGGAGACGTCAGGAATCACATGATCTCAGCTATGGTGGCTTTTCTTGTCAGGTGGATGATGGATAGAGAAGAGATGGATGGAGCTGTTAGTGGAGCAGACAGTGAGGTGGGATGAGCTTGTTTTTATATTTCAATCACTTCTTCGTTTTTCTGCGTCTTGATGTGATTCTCGCATGTCGTTTCTCAGTTAAGAGTTGTTTCTTCTGACTTTGCAAGCTTTGTTGTTCTGTCGTTTTAGTCTGTTGTAGATCAGGAAAGCTTTTCATGTAGTTTGTTTCATATAAACAAAGTATTTTCATATTTAAATGTTTTGAAAAAAGTTCACAGGATCCACTAAAGCAGGGGTGTCAGACTGGTTCCAGAAAGGGCTGTTTGGCTGCAGATCTTCTTTCCAACCAGACTCCATTCATCTCATCAAGTCATCATGTTCAGATTGGACTCACTTGATGACGTGAATGGAGTCTGGTGTGCTATTGCTTGGTTGGAAAGAAAACCTGCAGCCACACGGCCCTTTCTGGAACCGGTTTGACACCTGTGCACTAAAGCATCTGTTATCAGTGAAGAACATTTCGGTCTGGGTTTTTGGATATACTCCATTTTTAAGTCTTTTATGCTGTTGGTCCGGTTCCCAAGAATACAACTTAAATCCTCTACAAACAATCTTAAGTTTTCTTAAATCTCAAAATTATTTTTTTCGCCTCTCCTGTGTTTGTAAAGTCATACCATTAGTGTTTGGATGGTCAAAGTATTTTCAATTTTTTTAACTAGAGCTGGAATCCAGATTCCCTAAAAACACAGGAAGCAAATTACAAAGACAAAGCATTAAACATTGATAAATATTTTCAAATATTGCAATGTTGGTCGTGACTATCCCACTTTTCATCGCCTCCTACATCACAGGTCCTCATCACTCTATACGACTTTTAGCATCACTGCATCCGTAGTCAGTTATGAGAATTTATTACAAATAATATGAAAACCCATTTAAATGGCCAACATTATTGGCATCCAGATGGTGAATATAAGGACCTACATATAATAGATATATAGGAAAATAACACCCTACTTAATACTTCATCCAACTAGTCTTTGTACAAGCTTGTCTTTGTTGTCGGTGCTCGGTTGCAACCTCTTATCCATCTTTAACACTTTTCCAGACTCCGTTTAGATTTTGGAAAAATAAATAAAACGTATATTATCCTCTGTTGGAGCATGTAGATATTAAAACAGAGAGATATAGATATACAATAGATAATACAGATATTTAATAGATGGGTATAGACATAAAATAGATGGATATAGATGTACAATAGATAGAAATAGATGCACAAAAGATGGAAATAGATGTACAATAAATAGATATAGATCTACAATTGATGATATAGATGTAAAATAGATATATAGATGTAAAATATATATATATATAGATATACAATTGATAGATATGGATGTACAATCAATAGATACAGATATACAATTGATTATATAGCTATAAAATGGATATTTAGACTTAGAATAGATAGATGTAGATATATATAACAGATGTACAATACATAGATATTTATTTAAAATGGATAGATATAGAATAGATAGATATAGATATACAAAAGATGGGTATAGCTGTAAAATAGAAATATATGTAAAATAAATAGATATAGATATACCATAGATGGATATAGCTATACAATAGATGGATATAGATGTAAAATAGATGGATATAGATGTAAAATAGATGGATATAGATGTACAATAGATACATTTTTTGAAAGCATGGGCTTTACTTTACTAATTTTCCTTCCAATCTCGCTTTAAATACTTGATTTAAAAGTGTGAGAGATGATTGGTGTAAATGCAGTCGTCATTATTGTAAAAACAAACACAAAATGTTCCTGCAGATCCCATCTTTGATCAGCTTGGTTAATTGTATATTCCAAAAACAAAGATTCTTACCTTTACTCTATTATCTGCAAACATCTCACCATACTTCCCACCAGACATAAGGGGTAAATCGATTAACCCAGAACATTTGCTTAACTCCTGCTCAGTCATGCTCTCCTGCAGCCCGATGGACCATGGCTCTGCCTCAATAGTATCTTTCTTGCATCTTTCTGCTTCCTGTTTCTTAAATTTACACACCTCACTGAGGTTTGCGTCTTCTTTTAGCAGCAGCGGCATAGACTTTAAAGAAGTTTGTTATTTTCACAACCTAGTGGTGCTCCGTGTGATGTTTTCACTATTATGAGTTTCCAACTTGTTGATCACTAACAAAGGCTGATCAAGGTGAAACCTGCCTACCAGATTATTTCTCTATGTAGGTCTGTTCCCGTTATACACAAGGATCTTATTTTAGAGTTAGTCTGAAATACAATCTTCATTATTTTGGTCTATTTTTAAATAAACTCTTGCAGACTGACTGGGGGATTTTTGGGAATGTTTGTAACGCAGTAGGTTGGACTCTCCTGACACAGGAGCACTAATTATGTAACTGACTCAGCATCTAATTGAATAAGAAAAAAGAAGCGCAGGGTTTGTTTTACAGTATCAGGATACCTTTGCTATTCTAACCTTGCATCATTGTGTTGCTCTCATTGAGAGAACGGTAGCAGTACTAGTCAGTGTCAATGCCTGAACTGTGATAGTTTGGTATTATAAGATGAAATAACAGCTCATTTACCGTGGTAACCAACCCTCCCTCATTTTTTTTTTCTCCTTTCCTATAGCTCTGGGCCACATCTGTCTGATTTGATAGAGCAATGAAAAGTGAAGAGGGAGACTGAGAAGAGGAAACTGGCTGCACTGGGATCTGAGTCAATGAGCTGTTGGACAACACGAGAAGAACAGAGGATTAATTAAAATGGGGTAAGTTTAAGAGATAAGACCGCAGAAGTTTCATGCAGCTTTAGGAGGATGAATTTAAGCAAACATGATCCCTGCGACATGATGCTCAATGCCGGATAACCTCGGGCCAATCTTGGACTTCATATTAGGGGCTGATAGAAAAATTCAGGACATTGGTTTGGTTTGTATCACAGTAATGCATGTGTGAGTGTGTATGCTGAGAGAAACACTGAAGAAAATTCACATACAGTGGAATTATAAGAGCTTTAAACAAGGTCCAATATCAGATATTAGATTATATTAGCCTGAACCTAAATACACAGGTATTAGCATGCTGATAAAAAAAAACAATGCTTCCGCCTAAAGTTTATGTAAGTCGTTTGTTAATAATAAAATGGTCCATTATTCTTATATCTATTATTGTTGACTGTTGTTCTCTGCGTGAGTAAAATCAATTGATCAATCTTTTTCTAACATTACACTCTAAAAAAGTAAGTGTTAAAGTACGTACAGTGTGCTGATATCGTATTGGTATTGGTCAGTTCTCAAAGGTGCAATAAGTATCATATAGGAAATGAAAAAGTTCTATCAGGACACCCCTACTTTAAATAGATTTATATTAAACACTTAGATTGCATTCTCAAAGTATTTACAGTGCTAAAATTTTCCACATTTATTTATGTTGCAGCCTTATTCCGAATGGTATTGTATACTTTCATTCCTCAGGATTATGATTAAATTACTCTAAATTTATAGGAACAGATTTTGTTCCTATTAAGGTCAGTGTGAGTGTTTCTATTAGGGTCATGCTAAAGATCAATGGAAATACCTTAATGACTTATCTCTTTTTCATGGACTCTACAGTCCTGAGAAAATATTCTGCACCCTCTCAGGGACATGGTGGATGATATACTGCCCTGCTGGTGGGAATAAGTTATTCCCCAGTTAGCTGCTGTGACAGGAGGGAGCAGGGAGAGCACAGACCTCCAGGGAACAGTTAATACTGGTTTAAAATTCAGCTTGAGAAAGGAGGAGAGAGGGAGAGGCTCAGAGATACAGCGCTGCACTCTGGCTAATTAAATCCAAATTCCACATATTAATGGTTTTTCTTCTTTTTAATACGCACACATGTTTGTGCCTATTAGACATAATGATACAGCATCTGCTGGCAGTGGAGGAAAGATAGAAATCCACTTAAAAAGTTATTACAAAGTAGTTCCTTTAAAAAAAGAGAAAGCAACTTTATCATAAGGCTGGTTTGATATTTTTGTTCTTTAACCTCTCATGCGGTTAATTGAAGATCAGGGTTTGTTAAGTCATCCATCCATCCATCCATCCATCCATCCATTTGTTGGTCAGTTTTTCCATCCATCCATCCATCCATCCATCCATCCATCCATCCATCCATCCATCCATCCATCCATCCATCCAT